GCGATATGTTATGATGAGTTCAAGTCGCAAAAGATGATAGGCCAGCGTGTATACTCCAAATCTCTCGACCAGTCTTTGTACGATGAACCCGTAAACTGGGGTTGAGCCTTGTAGCTAAGTGTTGGACCGGTTCGATTTTTGTCGCCTCGCCTTGTGTGGTCGGGCAACTGGTGGGTGAGTCGTACTTTAGCACCTGTTTGATGATGGAAATGAAAAGGCGAGTGACCATCTCTTTAGACCGGATACAGAAGCTGCGTTTGAGGCCCTAGATCTATCTACAGTCTGATCAGCCGAGTTATCTTCGAACCTAACCAAATTCTTAGCCGGTTTTCTCAGACTTCACACATGGACAGATATGTTCCCCTAAGTAGAATTGCATGAAAACTATTTTCCTTACATCTGAATAGGAGGAACGAGTCAAGTTCAAAACGAATAGAGCAGATTCAATCACTGGAGAATAATACAGAGCTTTTGCTGCGTATATTATTATGCATTGGGGTGTCCGCATACAACATATGGAATGACTACGGTGTATATAAGGACAGTCAATGTGCGGCATAATTAGGTCTTAAACTTTCTCACCCTGCGTCAATTTCACGATGGAAGTCGAATCCTGTGACATCATTCATCTTCATTTTGATGAAGAAACATCCGCAGTCTACGAAGATCTACTCCACCACAGTAAACGCCGTTAAATGTGGCTTCGGCTGCAGTGGATACACAACATATGCATCTTTGTCATTGGAATACAAGCCTGGTGGACGCATCAAGGTCCAGCATGTATGTATCCAATCCACTACGTTGACTAACGTCGTAGGACTGCTAAGTGATAACTATCACTCGTTGGTTTATCTGATACAGGATGTGCCGACGTTGGGAGATCCAAACTTTGGTAAATGATTCATCCCCTTCGAAACATCGCGGAGTATGTAAGAGGTGGTCCTTTGTTGATGGACGGAAAAGAACTAGTAGTGAACAAAGGAAAGCGAAGAAGAGGTGGTACACTGTGGATAAACGAAATACCCTCATTACACATTTTTAGGCCGAGCTTCTAATCTAAGGCACCCAGGGGATGCACTCAAAACATTTATTTTTCGAACCCAGAAAACTGCGGTTCTATAACAACATTCAACTGCAGGTGGGTTTCGGCAGGTTTAACGCTCACTGACTAAAGGCTACTGGCATGTGGCGCGTCATCACCAATTAGTAAACAAAGGTAATACTTTCCGACCGTAACGCCAAGCTTATGGCCTCCATTCTGTTGTTTTCCTGTGATAAGATCCAAGCTGAGGCGGCCGTTGGTAAATATATCTGATGAAGAGAAACTGAGACTAATCTTCTCTGGCGTTTAAACACTGTTTTGTCTAGTCTGAGTGGGTCTGAAATGATGCATTTCTTCCACTACTTGCCCGGCTATAAATACTTTGTGTACTAAGCATAATTAGACGAAATAATAGAACTTTCATCTTTCTGTTCGGGAATATGTGTGCCTTTCGACGCCGGAATGCCCTCTTCTTTTAAATTAGATGCCCACATTTTTATCATCCTTGTCTTTTATCAATAGGAAAATTAGCAAATGCTTTCTCGCCGAAGTATGGGTGATTTTGCAGATCTGTTATTTTGCAGTTTACTTGATGCTGTCAAACACAGTGTTGCTGGTTACAAGTAGTTAAAGCTTGAAGTCTCATCGGTTTTAATCTGGACACTAGATTATGTTGAGCGTTAACCGGGTAATATTGGATTCACAAATTGTGCCATTGTGCTTACTCCACAATGTCGTCATTGGAAAAAAACTCACGGTTCCGTAACTTTTGCTGTAAACCAGTACCGTCACCGACCGATCAAAATGTTGTTACGGATCACTCGTTCATCAGTAATCTAAAGAGTAGGGTCGATATGAGCTGAAACGAATGCTAAATCCCATTTTATGCCCCAAACTTAGACACAACTCGTCCTCCCACACATGCACTTGCGTTCACATGGGCAATTTGGCAAAAAGTTCTTTCCCTGTATTTGCCCGAACGAACGAGTGCATTGACCGCCTCCTAAAAGCGAAAAAAGAAGTAACTCTGCAATTCTACCTGTATCTGCACTTCGGATCTACTGCGCTGCCGTAATGTCTGCAATTCCAACACCGGTACACTCAGTCAGGCCCAAATATATGACACCCAGAATTATAAATCGTAACATAGGTAGCCGCTTTTCCGCGCGTGATGCGAATGCTACCAGAAAGCTTCTAATTACAAGACTTCACACACATAGGTTATGGCAAGAAATTGGGTTAACATCACAAGGTCGCAACAATGTCGATGCTATGAAAACATCCCTCGGATCTGATCGCTACATGTCCATCAACAAGGCTCTTTAGTAACGATAATGCGCTGTCCATAATACCCAACTTCACTTTTGTTTTAGGCAGTAACCAATGTTGGTAGTGCACATCCTAAACAGTGTGTCAGCTCTGGCTGGTCGACCGGGAGATAAGAATAATAAAATCAAGTGTTCAGTGGTAGTGAACTTAACATTCCAATTATACATGGGACCCAGTGAATTACGTAAACGTAGGCTAAGTTTCCATATTGGGTTCGAATACCAACTTCCCTACAGATACAATGTTTTTCAACGATAGATCGATGTACTGCATTAGACCAAAGGGAGCTGCATAACGTACATTCTGTATTTTATGCTTTCTGCTTTCCAGTGAATTTTAGATTCATTGTGAAACCTCCAACATTGGTTGTCCATCCATGTATTATGAAAGGAGTTAAAAGATTCAATTCTACACAAACGATGACATCGTAACCATCAAAAAGAGATAACGAAATAACGAAATAGATTATCTATAGAACAAGCTGAAAGCAAGAAATGTCATTTGGCTGGTCCAGTTGTTGAGGCAGTTTTCGTGGATATGACTGTGTGCACCTCCGAAAGACTCGGTCAAAGCAGCCATGACGACTGGTCCAGTCCGACCTCATTATCGCTCAGCAGGTATATTATGCTAACCCAAACGTCTAAGCGTCTGTGCCACACAAGGCGCATTCGTATTCACCTAAACCAGTTTCATTAACAGATTTGTTATTTGGCGGGTCACTATCCTCTGTCGATTGGTAAATTCTCCGGATTATCAATGTACTATCGCCTCCAGGCCCTGCGAATAAACTCCAAGGAAGATTTGTGGTCCAGTTGCAGTATACTTCCCGTCTTTCTACGGATACAGAGCTGGATGGCATAGGCATCTGTAACCTCCGGTCGGGCATTCTTTACAATGCGAACTGAAAGCTTTTTGTCCCTGAATCCCTGGACCAGTGCTGTAGAGTCGCTGCGACGCCACCGTACATGGTTCGAAGTAGCGACAAACATCAAACACAGTAGAATGCAAGGTTAGCGTGAAAGAGGTCAGTTGACGTGGTCTAACACGGAGTCGAACACAAATTATTCGGAACCACCAAGTCGAAAGCGGAACTAGTCCGAGGTATGGTAGCACTATTCACTTGATAATTTATCTATCTGATAGGGATTTATAAATGAGATTGGTAGTCTGGAACAATATCGGCGATGAATGCCAACTGCACAAGTATGCTTTCTTCATGTTCTTTTTGTGTAAGTGCAATTAGCCTGGTTTCCTCAAAGATTTTGTTCGACGAATTTTCATTACCAGGAAGTTGTGAATCGGTCTAAATTCTTCATACCATCTCCGAAAAGAGCTAATGCCTATAAAGGGCTAGTCGCAAGGGTGTTAGTAGGGCCAAGATGGTTCATCTAGTTCGTTTGACAACTCCGGGCGTTAATTTCCCTGTCATTAACAAATTTCTGGACTGATGTCGAGCCAAGTATCTACTTGAGACAGACGCAAGTCAGTTCGTGGTAGCCATACTCCCCATCTTTAAGAATACTGATCCGAATTCAATTGATACGACTTCATAAACCAAGACCATAGACTACCATGGTCAAAAATTAATCGGACACTGCCACCGGTGTCTCCGAATCTCTATGAGTACTTGTCATGTTACTGGTTACTTCACAGCAAGGCGCTCTCTCACTTGAGATATTATGCCGCAGTTCATTTATATTAAAACGTAATAATGCTAACCGAAAATTTTCAGGTATTACTTCCTCGAAGTACAGCACCCTAACCATTTTTATCTCGTTTTCAGCGGGTGTTGTGCGACCAAGTTCGTAAAAATGGTCGATCCGCAAAAGTTTATTTTCACTAGTTAAACTGCTATTAATCACACACCTTAATGACTGCTGTTAAAGTTTGTTCTCCGCACCACTTTTCCATTTGATGGACCTAGGTCACTCCCAAGGTCACAACTAGGCTCTGGACATGTTTGTTTAGTACAGATGTTTATACTTTCAGTGCAGTTGAGGCAAGGATTATGACTGAAATTTCAGGATACATTAGTAATACAATGAACGCTTATAAACTAATGGATTAATTGATTCAGCCGTGAACACTGACAACTTACTTCCACGCTTGTAGAATGGACCACTCACGGGAAGCAGTCTATATGAGGAAACATTCCAGCCATATGCACCGAATATTTCACCTAAATAATCGTCTAAAAAAGTAATCTCAGGTCCAGGTTTGAAATAACCAACCCGCAGTTGGAATAGTTCTGTGCTATTACTTAGCAACTTCACAGTAGCCTAGCCTTAATCAATGAATGTCGACGTGTACAGTGCCAATCAATTTAATGTCCGATTTCTTACGCAAATTACATGTTGTGGGCTTTTCGAATACTATCACATCGATCGGCCCTGCAATTTATTTGCGCAGAAACTGTCATTTTAATTGCAGATCCAGCATCTCGGGTCAAATCTTGAGGAAATTTATATCACATTGAACTAACGGTATCCAACTTTTTGAAATGTGATGTTCTATTACTTGGCCGAATTAATGCCACCATCACACAGTTTGGTCCTACCGTTAACCCAATGATTCTAGCTATACACCAACATCATTACATTTATCTTTTCTATTACTTTGTTGTACTCAGCAAACAATTCGTACGGCTGACCTATCCGATCTGTCCAATTTGTATGACAATCTTCCACGTCCACCCCGCAAACCATCGGCGGCTCGTTTACCCGGTGCTGTCAATGTTTTGCCACTCCCAGTGCGTGCCAAGTCAAAGTCTCAATCCGCTACTGGTGAATCCAGATCCGAAAGTCGGTTGTCCTCACCTCAAAGTGAGAACAGTGTTGAATCGACTGCGCCTATCAGTACCAGCCAAGCGTCCTCTGGAACTGGGAAGCGGGACCATGTAAGTACACCACTGAAAGCTGAGTTTGATGAGGATCTTCCGCCTGGACCACCACCTCCACCTCCGCTCCCTACTCTAATGAACGGGACAACTCACTCTTCGAATAAAGACAGCAGACCGGACATTATGAGGCCGAAATCACTACCGGTTGCGGAAGTAAAGGAATGTGGAGCACCACTGAATCGCTGGAAGCACCCTGCTCCACCACCCATGCCAGTCACAGAGTCAGCATCACTACAATCACCTGTCACAACTGCTGCGACTGTCTCTACAGCTGCCACAACAAGCACTAGCACACTCAGCCCTTATGTGATCAGTACAACCCCGACCGCCGCTATGCGGGTACCTCCATTCACAGCCCCAAAGCCGTATGTTCCTCAGACATCTGCGGCCGCCAGACTGCGCAGCCGTATGAGCAATACAAAGGTCGACGGTGAGTTCAGCGCCAAATTGACATACATTCCAATAGCACTGATGATCCACAAACGCTAATCGATTACAACTGTTGGCAGAGAAGCATTTGTGTAGAATTTGCTCTCATAGGTTGATAGAATTCACAAATGTAGGCATTCTTCTGAAATAAAAAGCTCATTCCGCCAATTTTTCATAGGACATCACGGTGCCTTTTTGCAATAAACGTGTGGGTTGCAGATATAGGTTTTCGTGCCAGACTTGAAGGAAATATGCTAGTTTATCATTTCCTACACACGCAATACGAGTTACTGCACCATATGTGCCACAGTGGTGTAATTCCACACAAAGGACAAAAATACCCACTACCGAAGAATCCTTTCCAACATGTCAACATGTCTCTACAACCGTCCCAATTATATATGTATTTTATCAAATTCTTTCGCCAAAATTTGGGTCGATCACTGTACTACCTGTTACTTTCTGTGTTTCCTGCCCCTCACAATTTGGTAGTATTCGTTTGCATGTCATGAGATTGAGCTACGTTTAACCATGAGCCTTGCACTCTAGCTATAATCTACTGGCAAATGTGTTGCACTGAATTCGCGATTAACAACCCCGCTAGCCGTCCAGAATAACTTCGTGGTTCAGCGTTGCACAAATAATCATTTAGGGGATTTCTTTCACAAATTTCAAGATGACCGGGAAGAAAACATTTGAGCACAGTGTTGAAACGTTACTTCAGCTAGTCTCGTGCCGGTACTACGATTAGTTTTATTATTATTATCATTTATTGTTATTATTATTATGCAGTCATACATGTATATCAATTCAATCTTTGCTTGAGGCATAGAGAATGGTGGACAGACTTTTACCGAACTTGTGACTCGTTAGCCTCCTGAGATCAGAATATGTTGCGTTCTGCCTGACTAAACCAATAGTGCGTTGATGAAAAGTCTGAAATGTACTACATTTTTCTGTTTTTTTTCGCTAATCAACTCAGACCCGTCATTTGGAGTTTTGGTTTAAATATTGATTAGTATTTTTCAGAGGACAAAGTCACCCGTTCACGCGGTATCCAGTCAAATGTCATCAGGTTCCAAATTTAACATCATCGGATTCCGGAATTGAGCACCTAGATGTGTAGCAACTTTGAAGCGGACGTTAAGAGCCCATACAGTATCCAGTACTTACTCATTTCTAGTGTCTCGTACCCCAAAATATGCAGATTCACTGGATGCAATTTCTTCATTTGGATAATCAAATTTCCCTTTCTATATTCTGGTTAATGTGACTGACGAACAAAGAACGACAGTGACTTACGCAACTAGAGTACCAGCTACACCCTAGCGCAAGTTATTTATAAACACAATGCGCAGTGCTACCACGCGGGTTGCGTCGTTAATCTTGAAGTAACGGGCATTTCAAAACTTCGCTTTATAACCTCTTTGTAATGACTACTGTTTTGGCTATGGCTCCATGGATTCCCTAATTTTATAGATGAGATTTCGCACACCAGAAGCAAATAGACAATAATCTGTAGTCTAAAACGCTATTAAAGTTCACTTCGCGTTCTCGATCGTTGATGACTTTTCAAATTTTCGGTGACCGCCCACTTGTATCCACGAGTTACTTTTACTTACCCGTCTCATTCATGTGAAGTATAAGAACTTCAACATATGTGAAAATTCGTTACATAAGACGATATGCGCTAAAACGTACACCACTTCGCATCCAACTCAAAATTCGCCATCGGATTTGATACGAATATTAGCGATACTATAAGTAGCATCACGTATGAAAGTTCGACCAGCCGGTTCAACTGATACTGTCCCATATACGGGTTAGGTGTTCTATGCAAAAGTGAAGGTTTATTCTGCTGGAATTGAAAATTGACCATGCATTTTTAGCCATCACAGAATATCCGATAACATCAGTAGCGTACATGATTCAAAGCCAATTCGTTCATGCAAGCGGGTACGCAGAGCTTTAACATTTTTTAGCCTAGCTTTAAAGTATCAAGATACCAACGTGTCTTCATTCATTGATGTTAAGCTGCCAGTATTCATTACATCGGCTTAAGCGACCTCAGGTGATTTCGAATTTAACCAGCAGCTTTGGGGGCATCTGTTAGATAATGTCATCTTGTCATGGACGTTATTTGCTAGTTGTTATATCATGCCAGTAGAAGTAGAAGGAATACCACTGAGGAGCTCCAATGGGACGGAAGGCATTTGGTACTTTTCCGCATTGTTGATAGACTATGTAGCTTGTGAGCTACTGGGTCGAATACATTAAAATACATGGCAATTTTCACTTATCTTATTTTCCAATGTGACTGCGTCATAAACTTATACCACAATGTTATCGCTCAGGCGCTGTTGGTTAGGAAATTCACAGAACATGTTTAAGCGAAAATGAACTATATTGAACGATATTTCTAAAATCTAGTCACTGTTTTTATTCAAATCTTTCGCAATATCAAATTGCTTCTACCAAAGATACTAAAGTGCACGGTCGAACATTTTAGCTATTTGTTTTCCATGGTATGATGAATTTACACATTAGTAACCTACCACATTTCGCTTCGTCTCATTTTTTTCTGAATATCATTTGTCTCCTTCTTTTATCATACAAGAAGATATGTGAAACAAGCTTGAGTATATCCTAGTGCCAATTGTTGCTTTGATTCCGTTCCTTCTACTGGACTCAACACCGTCTTCTTTGCCTCTTATGTAAAAGTTGAATGTCAGGAAGATGCTGCCAGCCTGGGAAGTTCCAGTACTGTGGTAAGGACACAGCGCTCAGTCGCAAGCCTCAACTTACACAGGGAGTACGAACTCCATTTCCGAGGGCTATACATATTCCATTGCATTGGTGATCTAGCATAGCATCACTTGGCTGTTGATGTTATCGATTATTTTGTGGCGGCTAAAGCAGACAGGGTCGGATTTTTATCCTGTCAGAATAAGCTGGTAGGCCTAAGCCATGTATGTAAGCGTATCAGTTGAGCCGGTTGGTCGGATTTTCATGTATGGCTTTACTTATACGATTGCTAGTATTAGTATCAACCATGGCGGTAAATTTTGAGTTAAATGCGAAGTTCCGAACAATTCAATACCTAATGTATAAGTTACTTCCGTCTATAATTACTTGCGCATTATCCATTCTTGTATACAAAGGACGCATGAAAATTTATGGTGTTTCCCAATGACTGTTGTTCGTATCTAGCAGAACAAAGTATTCCAAATATAAGATTTGGCGTAATCAGCCATCGCTGTCCGCGGATTTCGTTGGCATAACGGTTTACATTCATTGAAAACCCAGAACGTTCCTGGGTTTCTTTCAGTAGAAATCTACTGCTTCAGCATGAACACCCCCAGCCAATAACGGACGCTAGCTTAGGTTGTAACCTTGACAACGAGTTTCACCTTTGATACTACTACGCCAGCTGCTGCAACAGTGGTCGAAATGGACGGAAGCTATTTTAGTGCTAATCACCATGTATCTGCAAAATACAATTGTTCTTTTTTGATTGGATATCGCCTTATCCTACCGGGTCAGTATACGATCATTTGTCGGCTACACTGAAGCATCTTACTGCACGCAACTCAAAATTTTGGTGTAAAACGACCGAACTTCGGTCACCGGTCATGCATGAGCTGGGACAGAACAACGAACATTTCTTATCGAGCGGAAAACCACTGCTTATGAAGTCTACTGTCCTGTTTTTCCGGGTATGAACCGAAAACGTTATGGTACCAGGCTCGAATTTCAGCTGCACTACACATTCATAGCAGTTCAAAGGGCGACGAATGCCGTCATGTATCAAGTAGCGCAGCTAACGCTACATTTGCCATAAAAAGGTAACAGTAACTGATTGATATTTGTAACGATTGCTGCTTCTAATCGAAATCGTTATATTTGTATTAAGACCGCAATAATATATGACGCATTGTACGGAAATATCTCGGTGCAATCAGTCTAAATTTCGCTAAATAACGGAGTGAAGCATTTCATTGTACACAGGATTGTTGCGAAATTGATGTGGAAGATATTAGTCCTTTTTTTGAAGATTCGTCACAGTTAGACACAGGCAGTCACCACACATCCAGTTAGATATCAGTCATGGCGGTCCGCTGCCGTTGCCCATGACTTAGTGATATAAGTCGCTGACTCGCAAGAGTAAGGTCGTAGGTTAGAATCCGGCAGGATTCGGCGGGTGCGCGCTACTGACGAGTCTCAATAGGACGAAACGGCCGTCTAGCGCTTTCCTGGATGTGTGGTGACTGCCTGTGTCTAACTGCGACGAAGCTTCACAAAACTAAAAAATCCTCATACTACTCACAAATTTTAGACCTTTCTTTATTTTCTTTCTGAACAACAAATCAAGAACAAATGCGACTGTAATACTGTTGCCACACGAACAAACGGGTAAATCTATTGCTGGACCAAACACATTTCTTACTTTTCTGACTTCAGTAACATGCCGCACGTCGTTTAGGGCGTTTACGTATGAGTTTTTGAACTACGATATTACACTGGTCATGACTACTAGTTCCCCGAATTTACAACTTACATCCAGTCAGAGCTACGCAAGCAATTTTGGCAATACCCACCTGGCCCTAATCGCTCATGGGCAATGCGTTTGCGTTGTAGCACTTTTACTTCTCTAGTGTTTTGTGACCCACCAAGAAATTCGACGATAGATAGCTTCCTGACGTCTGTTTAGTCTCGAAGTTTTCTAAGCTATCATCTTCGCTGTTGGGGTCTGACAATGATAGATGACTCCGAGTGCAGGGTTATCTGTACGAAACTAAAAATTCCAACTGTGCGGCACGAACTGAGTTTATTTTAGTCCAAATTGAGATACTAACAAAGAGCTGTTTACGCGTAAACTGATATGTTTTGTCATGGATAGGTTATATTTCGCTAGAACTTCACGCACAATTATCTACACGACTGGAGAACTTTTGCTGTTACAGAAACTCTTGAACCGTACTGTTAGCAGTTGTTGGGCTG